CACTTTAATTTGAATCAAAAATCTCAAAATTGTTGAAAAAGTGTCAAAGACGGGTTTTCCTAGTCCATTGCCCATTTAAACGTCTGTGTAATCATTAGGGATGGGCGTTAATATACCGTGGTATAATATGAGCAAAAATGGTATAATTGGTATATATACATTAGTGTAACATCTGTGTAACAAAAGCGACCAATAAAAGTTTTATAATAATTTTAATATTTTTTCCGAAAAAATTCCGATACGGAACGCAAAAATTTCAGAAAAGTTCCGACAAGAATTAAATATACCCGATACTATATGGGTGGTTATTATACGGTTAATATACGGTATAATACCCGGTATTTATACCAAATCTTATTATACCGTATAATGCCCATCCCCTAGTAATCATCATGTGCTAAGCTTCAGACACACAATGCTACGCATTAACCTAGTGTAATTCCTTATAATTTACAGTGTATCGATTTATAACTGATATATAATAATTGTTTTTAACCTTACATATCTTCTTAAAATAGCTGAAAATCAAAGTTTCCCTTCTAATTCTGACGATGAAAACAGTTCAATTATTGAAATTGATGATCACTCTCACGCTCTAGAAATAATGATAGGAAGAGCATTTGTTGGAAGTATTTTGAACGAATTAAAGACCCGAGAGATGGAATAGTAGCAAAATGTAAGATTCCTGGATGCAGTACGAGATATGTATGGCACGGATCAATTTCTAACCTTCTTGCCCATCTTAAGAAACATCGTAAATCAAAATCTTCAGCACTCACAACATCAATTCAATCATAACTAACAAATAATAACTTTAACGACTTTGAAGTTAATTTGGAATTAATTAAATTAATTGTTTCCTGTCCATTACCATTTAGTATCGTTGATAATTTAAATTTTTCTAAACTTGTTAATATATATACATTACTTCTAGAATGATAGAAGAGCAAATCAACAAATTATATAATCTCTTGTTCTCTCAATTTAAAATAAAAGCTCAGCACGCAAAGTCTGTCATGCTCTCAATTGATAGATATATAATTACTTGTTGTTGGCTAAATGAGGATTTCGAGTTTTATAAAATCTTGCTGTGTGTGAAAGAATATTTGAGAATACTATCGAGGCTTTAAATAAGTGGGAGTTAACTAGGGATGAGAATCGAATCTTTGATAATCGTTTTAATCGTTAATCGAATTAGAATCGATTCTCATTTTTGTGTAATC